GCCAATTTCATCAGTTAATCGGAATATTCAAGGCACATAGGGTAATAGAAAGTAAGGAAAGAGACAGAAAGATGAAGTGGAACATTCCAATATGTGACCAACTGCCTGTATAGATTGCTTGTTTTGCTTTTACTTATAAACATAAATGCTAACTCTGAAAAAAGGAAGACCTTCCTCACACTTGTTTTCAATGATGTGGCTTGAATTGTCTAAGATAGGTCTGTAGACAAGTGCAGAGTGCTTTCTCTGTACATCTAAGGAAAATGCTATATAAATGGCTTAGATTTATGCATAGAGAGGAATATCCGGAATTGCACGATAAATTCATTCCCTCCTTGTGATTGCTTGTTTTCCTTTGTATGTGAGTGTGAATAAAAGTGTTTTTGCTGATCCTCCAAGACTTTCCTGACTTCCTCAAAACATAAGAAATAAGAGACAGATCTTCTAACTTCTTCTGGAAGGTCACACCATAATACTGGAGTAGCAACAGTTAGTTGAGCCTCTGGGATATGAAAGTGTTTGGGGGGGTCATTTGGACTGGGATAATTTCTTTTGCATGCTGCATTTATCCTATCAAGCTTTTTTTTTTAAAAAACACCTTGATATATATGAATCTGTTCAGAGATCCCCCACCCCCCAGTATGGATTCTGCAATTTGCTTTTAGAAACTGTAACATGAGAGAATATCTTCAGTGAATAAAACTGCAGTCCGCAACACACCTGTGAGTGAATTAGTCCCTTTGATGGACAGGAAAACTTTAAGAAGATGTTTTAACTGATGTAACGGCCAAACACAAATATTCCTGTTTGGTCTTTGCATCAGTTAAAACATCTTCTTTATGTTGTATGCTAGTTAGTGGTTCACCCGCTGCCTGTATGTGTTGACTTCCATTTCAATGTATCTAAGAAAATGTGCGAGCACATGGGAGCTTATACCTTGAATTAAAAAAAAATTGTCTTAAAGCTGCCCCTGGACTCAAACTTTATACAGCATCATAGTAAGTCTCAGAGAACTGAAGGGAGAGGAAGACACAGAATTATTAAGTGGAATAGTCACTAGTCAAAGCTGTACTGGGGAGGAGAGGCTGGAGAGTCTTCCTAGGCCGCTGTTCGAAATGAGCATGACTGGCCACAGCTATAGTCTCTATGATGCAGCCTATGCCATCGTACATGCTATTCACTTCATATTTATTATTATTTATTTATTACTTTCCGTTTCTATACTGCTCGAACCCCGAAGGGTCTCTGAGCGGTTTACATTCACATTCACAAGTTAATTGCCTATCTAGGGCCACATTTTTACATAGGGAAGTGATTGCCTACCAGCACCCAGGCAGCAGGGCTCTGTTGGTATTCGGTTCTTTTCCAGCGGGCGTCAGGAGTCGTTATTTTTCGGTGGATGGGTCTTGCTACAGGTCTTTTCTCGGCGCAGCGTCTCCCCCGGAGGTGTGCGACCATGCGCTGATCGCAGCTTCGGCTTATGTCCTTTAGTTGGCTCCACCGCGTCGCTGCATCACCGCTCCTCCACTCGCCAGTCTCTGCCCGGAACTCTGCCACTCACCGTTGCACATCCACCATGCTTCCGCTCGCCAATCACTTCGCCGCCGCTGCTCCTGCTGCCTGCCCCCCGCCAGAAGGAGGGTGCCCCCTGCCACCTAGGGGCAGGTACCCATTCATCTACTCGCTTGCGCTTTCGAACCGCTGGGTGGGCGGGAGCTGGGACACGGACCGGGAGCTCACCCCAGCCACGGAGGGTCTCGAACAGCCTTAAGGGCTGTTCACTGATGTTACAGCAGGCGTTTTACTGCCTGCGCCACCGCTTCATGTATATGAAGGATTGTTTTATTGCTTGTTTTATCCTGTTTTTACCTGTTTAATCTTGGCATATGTGCTTCATTTGTTAGCCACCCTGAAACCATTCGGGGAGGGCGGGGTATCAATTTACTAATAAAATAAAAATAAATAAAATAAAATGTACTCATCCAGATCCAGTCACAGGGCAATGGATGATGGTCAAAAACACACAAAAAAACCTTCAAGATCTCCAGCCTTGGCAGGCAATGTCGACCCAAGGAATTGTCTCTGTTGCTATGAAGACGGTCTTAGTGTAAGATGAGACAATGTTCAATGTTTCACAACTGCTTCAAACTATGATTTGATCACTACATTTTGTCCATTCTAATTTCTCGTGATGATCAGGACCCCAGGGAATAGAGACAATGTAGATAGTCAACCTTCTTCAAATGAGAAACAAATATCAACAGTGTGACATTTTGCTTGTTTCTCCTTTTAAAATAGTGTGTCCAAGATGGTGGAGATCTATGAGATACAGAGAACCTCTACCAACATGCAAAGTTATAACATATTTATTAAAGAGGAAATGTTCGCATGCCTACTATTTGCACAGCACCAGATTGAGAAAAGGCATTCAGAAGAAGTGGCTGAAATGCAATTCTTCTGTCCATCTCTCTATACATGCCCTATCAGATGTTAAAATATCGCACAGGTGCCTTTGCTAAGGATGTTATAGATCTCTATAGAATTCCCACTACTTTGAAGCTTTCTTCAGCTCTCCAGGCCAGCGCATGGTTAATGACCACCTCCTCCAGACCTCAGTTAAGATTTCTGTCTGCTCTGATGGACTCAGCATGAAAAGAGCCCTTCCTCCTTGCTCCCCTGAGTTTTATCATCTCTCTTTCCTCCACTCACTGACCAGGTCAGGCCGGGTCAGAGAATTTTTTCCTGGGTATTTTCCAGGAATTTCTTTCTGAAGTCTCTCTAATATTTCACACCTCCAAGTCTCTGTTCCTTGACTGAAGGGGGGAGAGCTTGACAATCCCATTGTAGACCTATTAGCATTTCTATAAAGGTGAACTGATGTACATCTGAAAAGCAACTGAACTGACTTCCTCCCTTCCTGCCTGTTCTCTGTCCAAAGGGGGGGGGGACTTTTAAAACTGAGAGTGAAGATTATTCTCATTTCAAACATCCAAAGAAAAAAATGCATTTCTTCAAAATAATATTAGTAAGAACAACAACAACAATCATAATGATGATAAAAATATGTGCTGTATTTGAGGAAGGATAAACAGATTGCAGAAAGCACAAGGGTCATTCTTGTTCACTAGTTGCCTAATACATCCGCTGATGCACAATAATAGCTAATGTCTCCCATCCAAAACTCTTTTCATGGTTTTCAATAGGTGGTGCCCCTTTCTGTGTGCAATGATTATTGCATCCCCAGCTATCATAAGAGAAAGAAAGAAGGGGAGAAATGTTGCTGTTACAATTGTGTGCCTTGCCCAGAAGGGAAGATTTCAAGCCAAAATGGTAGGTGATGTCATCCAATTGTCAAATGTTGATGGATTAGAAGGGGCAACATTCAGCTTCCCTCCCCCATCTCTCTCTTAATAAAGATCTCATATCAGTTAAGCCCCAATTGTATCAGATCCAAAACCAGACCAGATATTGTTTACAACAGGATCTTGGTAATCCATCACATTCAAGAAGGCTTAGGGGTATAGGGCCACCACAGTCTTCAGCCATTTGCCCCCCATGTGGCCGGCATGACCAAATACCAAGGTGCACAGAAGGCTGTTACCGTCCCACCAAAGCGGTACCTATTTTTCTACTTTCAATTTCTTTCTAGGTTTACAGGAGCTGGGGCCAGAGATGGGAGCTCACTCCATCATGCGGCACTAGGGTCTTGAACTGCTGCACTACAGACCTCCTGGTCTGCAGCTCAGTGCTTTAACCTCTGAGCCACCATGGACCATGTGATGTATGGAGAACCGGTAAAGCTCCAAAGGAAATTCTTTATCAGGAAGTATAGTTGGTGTCTTCTGAAAGGTATGAGGAATTCATTTCCCCTTCCAAACATTCCCATTAAAATCAATGCAAGTGCCGGTCCAATGAAGGTTCGGCTATGAAGAATGACTTATTAAATGGTCAGTCATTGTATGGGTTTCCTTCCTTCCTTCCTTCCTTCCTTCCTTCCTTCCTTCTTTCTTTCTTTCTTTTCTTAGTTCTCCTTTTCATTTAAATAAAGTCAGCCTAGCACAAAGAACCATGAGAAACAAGGCAGTACAGAGGGACGAAGAGATCATTCATCCCAGATAACTGGTATGTGAAGTGAGGGACTACCGCAAAAAAGCATCTCCAAATGAATTGTAACTATAACTTCAAAACGTCCAAAGAAACAAGCTTTAAAGCTAACCTTCACCAAAGATTGTTGTCTTCCAAAGTAACCATGATGCAAGTAACTTGTGGAGCAAAGACCACTCTAAGAAATTTTTTTCAAGGGCTCCAAAGGTACAAGTGGACATGCAGATCTTCTAATTTTCCCTGGAAAACCATTCTGTAACATTGAAGCATCCATAGGAAACCCCCACAAGCATACAACAGAGCAGTGGACCCTTACAAGGGTCAGATTCATGCATTCTGGTCCTGAGCGAAGCTGCTGCAGGGGCTCATCTCAAGAAAAGCTATCCTTCAGGAATGCATATCTCTGGTCATGAAAGACTGGCTTTAAAACTAACCCCAAGGACCTTGAGTTGCACTCAAGAAAGCAATAAGTAACCTACTGAATCTCTCTAAAATGTGCAATTAGAGACATTCAGCCACATCAGCCAACATGTTTTGGAGATGTGGAAAGGGCACCAGACCCCCAGGGATCCTTCCCTTCCAATCATCAATGCAACAGACTGGACTTCTAGACAGGTGAGCATAAATCATTTCAGCCACCTCCCTACTGCTAAGTAACTAAGAAACTCATAGTCATTTCTGTAATTCTAAAAGGAACTTTGTCTGTGTGATTGAGTGTGAGATTCTGATTTTTGTATGTATGTGAACCAAACGTCATTCAGTAAAAAGAGCCACTTGATTTTAAGATACAAGCCTCGTCTCTGTCTATAACTGGGAAGTTCCTCAAGGGGGCAATTTGTATACACGGGCTAAAAGACCACCAAACATTTATTTATCTGGCCTCTGCCGTAGATAAGGCAGTTAGGCTAACACTTTGTTTACATAAATCGTCCCTGCCGCTCCGCGAAGAAAGGAAGTGGAGAGTTTCAAGTTTGAAAACTTTAACAGGACTTAACTAGGAGGTCATCAGTTTCTTTGATGTTGCTTTTACAGGTACTTATGGTGTGTTTCTTCATCGATATTATGGATGAGGCTCAATATAACTCTCTTGTTTTCGGGGCATTCACAGCTGGTGCAGTTATGGCTGCCATAATTGCTCTGCTTCATTGCATGCTTCTGGGACGATCAAGGGCATCCACCCACTTGTTGCCTGAAGCAGGGGGCCCGAAGCAAGTCCCTTGCATCAGGCCTCCCTCCAGGAGGTCCAGTAGAGCTCGGGATCCCCTGAAAACTCCTCTAAAACAATCGAAGAGCCAGTGGTATCCAGAAGCGATTCCCGGTTCTAACCGTGTTGCTGCGCTGCAGCCCTTCCTCCGCACCACCAGCAGTTTTTTTTTACTTTCCCTGAGAACTCATCTCTGTGTAACTTCTCTGCTCCAATTGGATCTGCACAATTTAGAATATTGTTCCATTGTAATGATAATTCACATCCTGGATTTTTTTTACAGCATTGTCCTCTAAACACATACACACCATGTTCTTTGCTACTCATATCAGTGGGTTTTCCTTGAGTTTTGTCTCCTCTTTTTTCTCCTCTTTGGACTTTATGGTTTCTGCCTTAAGCTTATCTCCATATTTGATTCATATTTGGGCAAATCTCCTGATATGTTCTTCCTCTACTGGCTATTTCTCTTCAAGCAGCTGAATGCTTTGAGGCATATGTTGCTTTCACACATACTGAACAATGCACTTCACAACTGGATTTTACTGAAATGGAAAAATCCTCTTGAGAGCCAGTTTGGTGTAGTGGTTAGGAGCATGGGCTCTAATCTGGGAGAACCAGGTTTGATTCCCCACTCCTCAACTTGCAGCTGCTGGATGACCTTGGGTAAGCCATAGTTCTATCAGAGGTGTTCTTGATACGAGCAGTTTCTGTCAGAGCTCTCTCTGCCCCACCTACCTCAAAGGGTGTCTGTTGTGGGGAGGGGGAGGGAAAGGAGTTTGTAAGCCACTCTGAGACTTGGAGTGAGGGGCGGGGTATAAATCCAATCTCTCCTTCTCCTCCTTCTCCTCCTTCTCCATCTCCTCCTCCTCCTTTTTCTTCTTCAAATTATTGCTAAAATGCATTGCAAATGGATTGAAAGCATAGTATTCAGCATGTGTAGACAGACTGTGTCCTTTCTAAATTCATGCTCTACATTTTCCATCTATCCTGCTTCATCGCCTCATTATTCCAAGAGTCTTGAGCACCATGTCTCTGATCTCCTGTTAAGGCCAGGATTATCCACTCTGCTCAATTGCACTCTCTTTTCATAACCCTGCAGTTCTTTCCTTCCCTCCTATCTGTTCCACTCTCATTTGTTGGCTGACTCTGGCCAGAATATGAAACTTCTTAATGAATTCTGCTTCAAGAGTTTCACACTGGAGTCTCCCTTTGAAGTTATTTTATTGAAAGATTGCAGTTTTCATAGTAGCAGTGCTTTGTCAAGGAAGATTGAAATGTCCCCCCACTGATTTCTGAGTATCATGATTTCTAATGTCAGATTTGCATCCATTTATTCTTTTCTGTCCAAGGTAGATGGCAGAACAAGATTATGTTGATCCATTAAGGGATAAATTACTTTGGAAAATGAATGAATGAGCCAGAGACAACACTGCTGAAGTTTAGGTCATGTGAGCATGTTGCCTGATTGTATAGGGGGAAATAGTTGGCATCTTGTTAGAGATGTAACAGTTTTGAACATCTTGAAGCCATGGGAAATTTATGGTCTTTTTTGTTGCTGTAAAGTATCATTTACTCCTTTGGTATATTTCTCGAATATAAAAGCATAAATACCCTGTTTTCTACAAGCAAAAGGGAGCTGCTGATTACTGCACCCTGAGCATGCCCAGAAAGTGACATCACAGGAAGACATGGGGCTTGTGTGCAGTGTGCTGGAAGTGACATCAGAAGGGGTGGAGCTTGGGAAGTGACATCACAGGATGTGACATCACAACATGATGACACATCGTTTCTCCTGGCTTGACTCCCAAAGTCTCCTGGCTCCACCCCCAAAGTCTCCTGGCTTCACCCCCAAAGTCCTCAGATATTTCCCAAGTCGGACCTGGCAACCCTAGTAAAAGTTGTGCTCAGAGTCCACGGGGAGAAAAAAGAAACTAAACTGTTTGCAACCAAACTTTCCAGAGCTATTGTTGGCAGGTGTCATTATTTCCCCCTGGAATTGTCCAAATCACTGTAATTTGATATCCACTCCAAACCTCCCTTGGTCTTTCAGAAAGTTCTAGAAAGTAATCAGCAAGTAAATGGCTATAAAATCATCGAGCCATTGACGGCTGGGAAGTGGAACTCTTTGAACATCAATTTGATTACTCCCATGTTGCCTTTCTAACTAGATGTGCTCTCAGATAGTTTTTTGCTTGGATCAGGCATGCATGTCTGTTGCTGAATTCCCCCTCCCCTAGAAAATCAATTTTGTTTCAGAAAGAGTTCTTGAAGATTAAGCTGCAAACTGAGGTAGTCTCAAAGCTGGACATGAGTGTAATCAGGCACATGAAAGATATGCATTGATAGCAGGATGTTGGAACTAGTGATGATGCTGCTGCTTCTACCTTCAGTCTCATGCAAAGGGGATGCCTCCAAGTGTCGCATGAAAGATCCCCTCCCAGTTCCCCATGAGTGGTACCAGTCAGGAGATCTCCTCATTGGTGAAATTGTTTCTCAGATATTTTACCATCTGCATGAAATAAAATTCAGTCGACATCCATCTGAGGAGTTGTATAGGGAGCCATAGTAAGTAATTATAATGTCTTGCTTATGAACATGGCCTTACTCTACATCTTAACGTAGGTTTATATAAGGAAATGGTGCTCAAAGTAAACAGAAGTGGACTCTTGTCCCACTCCAGTGGTCCTCTTTCTCACCTGATTTTTCTGCAGCACACCTGACCTATTTTCATCCACAAAGAAGAATTCTTCCTGTCCTGGAGGGCACCAGAAAGCAATAACACACCCTCCACACCTTTATAGGCATGTCCGAGCTTGTAACACCCTGATTTGGATCACTTCCTTAGTAAATCTTTCTCACCCCTACTTTCTGCACTACCTTGTAGGGTGTTTTCATTTATTCTGTCGTTTTGCCCTATGATAGAGTAGACATATAAGAGTGAGTTGAAAGCATAACTTAGCAAGTGCCATTGTTCAGATATCAGGCTGTGTGCTGCATGATTTTTTAATGTTCAAAAATGTGCATAGTACTACACACATGCAAACAGATGTTCAAACTGCTTCAGAATTACTGTTCCAAAACATGATAAAAAGTCAAGTCTCTGGGGAAACAAAACAATCTGACAGTATTACTGTTTCCAACTCTCCATTTCTATGTTTACAGTATGTTCACCAAGTTCCACCAGCACATCCTGGTGTTGGCGTTCGCAGTAAATGAGATCAACAAAAATCCCAGAATCTTGCCGAATGTCACTCTTGGGTTCCACATCTATGACAGCTACTATGCTATGAGGATGACCTATCGTACCACCTTTGATCTGCTCTATAAATCACATCAATATGTTCCAAACTATGAATGTGATGGCCACAAAAAACTAATGGCTGTCATTGGGGGACTGAGTTCTGATATCTCTTTCCACATGTCAGACATGCTAAGTCTCTACAAGATTCCACAGGTTAGGTCTGTGATCCGAAGAAGGGATTTCACCAATCACTTTCTTTCTGTAACTTTTGCTGAGGTTAAGGAACTGAAAGGGAACTGCTGATTTCTGAAAGGAAACAATCCAAAGAAAGTTGGTTCACAGAAGTCAGGAAAATAAGTGTGAGAAGAGAGTGAAAAGGGGATGGAGTTAAGCTGTAGAGCATCTGCTTTTCTAAGAAAGTGTCAGGATAAATCCTAGGCATCTGCTGCTGGAGAGGTCAAGTAGCAGGTACTGTGAAAGACCTCAACCAGAATATCTTGAGGATTGCTGCTACTCAGAGTATACAATCCTTTCCATGATAAAGCAGGAGTCTAACTCGGTGTTCATGAGATAGTATGAAATGATTTCTGCAGATCTCTCCCCCCACCCAGTATTGTCCCATACCCATCCAATCTGAGCTGAGTACTAACACATATCTAATGTATGGCTACACTTATTTTAAGGTGACTTTTGGGTCATTTGCTGCAGAGAAGACAGTTGCCAAACAATCCCTGTCCTTTTACCGTGCGGCCCCAAATGAAGCCCAACAGAATGTGGGGATCATCCGCTTACTCCTGCATTTCCAGTGGACATGGGTTGGGCTTTTTGCTGTGGATGACGACACTGGAGAACAGTTCTTGAAGGTCATGGAGCCACTGCTTTCCAAAAATAAAATCTGTTTGGCTTTGATACGGACAATTCCTAGCCACTACAGCTGGAACGACTTGGATTATCTCACTGATTTATTTTTAGAAATATATTTTCCTTTTAAAGACAGCAAAGCCAAGATATTTATCTTCTATGGACAATCTGAGGTTCTCCTAATGTTTTACACTATTATATTTCCAGGATATCCCACTCATACAGAAAATCACCCATTGGGAAAAGTTTGGATTATGACGCCACAGGCTGATTTTGCAGTATCTGGCCTTCACAGGGCTTGGGATTTCCAGTTCTTCCATGGGACCATCTTTTTCACAATTCACTCAAATGAGCTTCCTGGATTCCAGAACTTCCTTAGAGGCTTAAAGCCATATAAGGAACAAGGGAACGGTTTTCTCAAGGACTTCTGGGAGCAAGCATTTGACTGTTTCTATCCAAATCCCCAGGAGCCAGGAGACATCGGTGAAATATGTACTGGAGAGGAGAGACTGGAGAGCCTTTCTAGTACCCTTTTTGAAATGAGCATGACTGGTCACAGCTAAAGCATCTACAATGCAGTCTTTGCCATCGCACATGCTATTCATGTCCTGTGTTCATCCAGATCCAATCACAGGGCAATGATCAATGGTAAAATAAGAGGATTTCAAGACCTCTGGCCATGGCAGGTAATGTTGTCCCTTTTGCCATGACTATGTTAGGATAAGATGAGACAATATTGTACTTTCCCCTGCTGGCCCCAAGATATACACATGTTTCTGTGACAACATTCTGTGCTATTTCATGTGATAATTGAAGCATGGAAAACAGAGACTGTTCAGAATCAAACCTATTCACACACACACACACACAAAAATGCTACTAACAAGGTGAGTCTATCTGATAGGCCATGAAAATGTAAGACTGGTATATCTCAACATTCAGGCTCTAGTGTGCTGCTTTGTTTCCCCTCAAAATTAGGTTCATGCCTTTCTACAAGCCATTACATTCAACAACTCGGCTGGAGAAAGATTGTCTTTTAATGACAAATGGGAAATGGAAGGTGGATTTGATATAATGAACGTGGTCACTTTCCCAAACACATCATTCCGCAGGGTGAAAATTGGAATGGTAAATCCCAATGCTCCTGAAGGAGAAGAACTCATCATCCATGAGAATATGATAGTGTGGCAAAGCATTTTTAATCAGGTATCTATTTCACTTTTCTCAGGTGCTACTACTCTCCTCAGATACTTCGCTCACCGAATTATTATTGTTGTTATTTTGTCCTTATCATTATCATCACTATTAATCTTATTCCACCTGCGTCAATGTTCTGTTTGATCAGACTCAGTTGTAAAGAAAGACCAAAGCCTGCATTCGAGCCCTAAAGATACATTTGTCTTAAAATTGCCAAATATTGCCAGTCTTTACAACTTTTGAAATGAACTGAATGTTTTCCAGAAATGTGAAGATAGCAAAAAATATTTTTTCATGACACTTTCATTAAAATGTGGTACTTTTTACAAGAGTCACTGATTTTTTTTTTCTTTGATGGGAGACACCGTGTGGAGTGGTCAAGTTCTTTTCTGTGTCCCCAATAAGAATAAAAGTGATGATAAAAGCAGTGCTGCAAATAGAGAAAAAAGTGATTGTAGTAAGCACGGACATCAAGCAGGGTGTGCACCAATAAAAAATCACTTATATTTCATGTCAGGCGTTTGAAGGGGATCCTCCACTACATGTAACGGTGCTTTGGTATCCAGACTTTCAAAGGGGAAATTATTGGTGGGTCTCGGACAGCTATCTGTAATAATAATAATAGCACCAAATTTACAGAGCCCATAGTCCTCCTTCTAATATACAGACCCCCCCCCCCATCAAGTTTCAAGTGAATTGCACCAAGAGATTTGGGTTTTCAAACTCCCAAAGAACAACTCAGGTGCAGTTCTCTCCACTGATTTCTGTTGGGGGGAAATGGTCCCAGCCACTGGCATTATTTTGTTGTTGTTGCTGTTGTTGTTCAAAAGCCTGCTTAAGTTAATTTCATTTTTCTACATACCTAGGGACTGAGAATGTATATTTTTGCCTTCCTGCTTTTTTTTTTCTGCTGAATAATCTGTGTTTGACATCTTTCTTTGTTCTTGTCTGTTCTTGTTATTTTTCTCAAAATGAGGATAAGGGGGAATGGAGTGGCTGATTATCAGCCAAATGACACCAACATTGCAGCAGAGCTGTTGTTGTTAGCCACTGAGTCGTGTTGGACTCTTGGCGATTCTATGGGCCAGATCTCTCCATGTTTTCTGATTTCGTACAGAGCTACTTCTGCCTACTGTACATCTCTCTACAAGGAAGCCTAGCTACCCTACTTGGAAATAAAAAGTGGTTCTGACCCTATAAAAGTACGAGGGAAGAGAACCTGAGCAAGAACCTCAGCATTGTCATCATCCCCTATGGGGATCCAAATGTCAATAATATTGCAGGGGAGCTAATGCTACTTTTCCACTAAAGAACTCTCAAGTTCCAAGCAAATTGGACCAAGGGTTCCAGTTGTGAACAAAGGGTCTCCAGCTATCCTGCTTGCAGCGAACAAAAGACCTCTGCTCTTCAAAGGAGGAAGCAAAGGAGCTCTGCATCTTGTCTCTAAGGGTGATTGGGTGGGGACACTCTGTACTTCTCCATTGCAAGGGTCTGGGTGGAAGGGGAAAACTCAATTGTTTGGGAATCAGTAGAATAAAAGGAACACAGGAGTGTATGTTGCGTTGCTGGTAGGAACCAAAGCATTCGTAATTACAAGAAATCCCGGATTTGTTTTCCTGTCCTGGGACATCACTGTAACAAATCAAACTAGCAACTTCCACGTATAGTTTTCCTTGTGAATTGAGTAATGCACACTGGCATACTTGTTTCTTCACACCTCAGCTGATGCACCACCAGGGGTCATATCATAGAAAAAGAGGTGCAGGAGCTTATTTGCATAACTCATTTGCATATGCCACACCCCCTGACAAAGGGCACCTGGAGTAGATCGGGAAGGGAACCCAGACATGTTTAAAATGTCTTTCTTTCCCTTCCCCATCTGGGGAAGGGAAAGAAAGGCATATAAATACCCCCCCACTTCCCCAAGTTTATCTGCAAAAGTGAGAGGCTCAGGGGGGAAAGGGGGAATGTCTGGCTGGCTGGGGAAGCAATTGGCAGGCATGTGAGCATGCCTGGTTTCTCTCCTCCTGGGCTTGTTACTCCTGGAATGCTGTTCTGGCTCATTCCCCCTCAAAATGACTCCTGTGCACCATAAAGTATAATGTCCTCATTTCTGAACTCGAACTCCTTTCATGGTTGTTGTTGTTGTTGTTGTTTTCAAAAGATGGCACCCATTTCTGTGTGCAATGATTACTGCATCCCGGGCTACCATAAGAGAAAGAAAGAAGGGGAGAAATTTTGCTGCTATGATTGTGTGCCTTGCCCAGAAGGGAAGATTTCAAGGCAAAAGGGTAAGTGACTTACAGCACAATCCGAAGGACACTTTCCTGGGAGTAAACTTTATTGAACAGACCATAGTAGCATTCAGAGTAGACCTGCTTAGGATTGCTCTCATAATTTATCAACATTCAGGGTTAATTCAGTTTATTTGATTGTCAAATGCTGATGGAACTGAAAGAATTCTTTGTTTTTCTTTCATCCATGTATCCTTCAGTGCACCTTGTATCTCAGGAAGGCCAAAGTAGTTTCTGATCAAAACCCCAGGTGGAAACTGGTTAGAAATGGATCGTGGTAATCCAACACATTCAGTAAGTTTCGCAGCTCTATAGCCAACATTTTCTCAAGCACTTTACCCACAAAGACATATGTGCCAATTTCCAAGCGCTAAACAAATCATTTAGGTATATTAGCTCACTGCAGGACAGCCTTTTTTCAAGATGTTAAAGGATACTTTGCTCCGTGTCCCAGCTAGTTAAACCCATATGAATGAAGCCATCATCTTGATCTGTGGCTGTCAAAACTGGTAATAAAGGCTTGCTGCAGAGAAGTGACCGTATCTACAAAATGTGTACCAGAAGCTCCCGTGAGCCTCTGAAGTTTCAAAATCAGTGTGATCCAGGGCTTCCTACAAACCTGAAAAAGATTCATTTATGGCACGAGTGCTTCTTATCCCTGCTATCATCAGTATCTTAGAGCAGTCAGAAAACTGAGCTCCACCATGCCTTTGATTCTGCTTGTCAAAACTTTTCTTCCACTGGCATTCTTACTGAATGTTGAATCTGTCATTGTTTAATTTTCTGAGAAAAAGAAATTTAAAGGCCCCGGTCACACGGGCAGGAAACTGCGGGGGAGAAGCGTGGCTGTTTGCCCTGGGGCAAACTACTGCGCAGTTACTTGATCAGACCTCCCGTGGAGGTCCTGTGGAGGTACCGGGGAGGTTCCATGGCAAGGGAGAGGTGCTGATCACAGGACAAGCCGGCGCGCAATGAAGAAGCGTGCACCGCGGCAAACTGTTTTGTTTTTGTGTGTACACGACGAATGTGCATGCTCAGTTGGGTGCGTGTGCGCATCCACAGAGACGTGGACAAAAAACCCCACCGTATTTGCAAGGGGACATGGGCGGGTGCCGGATGCCACCAGAAACGCGATCAGACGCCTGCCTCTGCCTCGCAGTTTCCGGAAACTAGTACCTCCGAGGTACTAGTTTTTTGCCACACAGTTTCGGCTGGAAGCCTCGGTTGTGCCACGGGAGTGCTATGCTTCCCAGATGTGCTGGTGAGATCGCGCCCAGAAACTCCGCCTGTTTTCCATCTCACTTGTGTGGCTTCTGTTCCGTGTGACCGCAGCCAAAAATCCCCTAATGTTTTACTCAATATAGTCACATTTTGGCATACACCATCAGCACACGCTTATTTGTTCATAAACTAGAAGTACAGTATTCCTTATTGACTACATAGGTGGTAATACAGAAAAGCAAATGGTATTCCTCTATCTGTTTAAATGATTAAAGCTTAAAGGTGGATACAACTGACAATACCTCCAAAATGTCTAGCAAACAAACCACAGTGAGCTTCTGAAGGGTCAAATTCAGAATCATTCATGGCTGCTTCAAAACCTGTAACAAATGTGGTGATGGCATTAAAGCTGTATTCTGCATTACTACGGGTTTCACACAGTGTCCACAAAAACGGCTTTTCTCACATTTGCCTCCACTGACACTCTTACGGAGTGCTCAATCCTTCATTGCTCCATCTGCTAAGCAAGCGTAAGGGGCTGAACGGTCTGTGTGATAAGGAAGGTGCACTGAGAAATTAGAATTTCTGGGTTTCCTCTGAGTAAAAAAGACAAGAGGGAGTGAACGGGGGATGAGGAAGTGTTTCTCTCACTTGCCATCATACAAGGGGAGAACTCTCAGGTTGCAAGACTCACCTTGGGTGCTATTATGAGTAATGTGTTCGAAGCTGGAGTCATATTGCGTCAGCAAAAACACAAAAGGATCTTTGACTTCTGGAAGGGTGTACCTGGAAAATATTGTTGGCCTCTAAAGTGCTAGTGGACTTGAATGCAACTCACTATGAAGACTAACTAGCTAAAATCAAACTGGAAACAACAATAGTAACAACAGTACAAATAATAATTATAACAGCCAGTCCAAATTTATATATATGGCCAGAAAACCATAACAGTTATCATGTCAACTGCCCATTTGAATGTGAATGTTCCTCTTCATCTTTATTTCAGATATGGATGATTGTGTCAAATGCCCAAGTGATCAATATCCAAAAAAGAAGAAAAATGGATGCATTCCCAAGACAATGAACTTCCTATCTTTTGAAGAACCTTTAGGAATTACTTTGCTTTCCATAGCTGTTTCTTTAGTTCTTATCACTACTGTAGTGTTAGGACTTTTCATTAAAAACAAAGACACCCCCATCGTCAGAGCCAACAACCGGGATATCACCTACATACTTCTCGTTTCTCTCCTGCTCAGCTTCTTCTCTTCTTTGCTGTTTATTGGCCAGCCAACAAAGGTCACCTGCATCCTCCGACAACCTGCTTTTAGCATCATCTTCTCAGTGGCTGTTTCCTGTGTGCTGGCTAAAACCATTACTGTGGTTGTAGCATTTATGGCGACCAAACCAGGGTCCAGCATGAGGAAATGGGTGGGGAAAAGACTGACCAACACAGTTGTCCTGTCCTCTTCCCTCATTCAAGCAAGCATTTCTGTGGTGTGGTTGGGAACCTCCCCACCATTCCCAATTTTTGACACACACTCACTGAATGAAGAGATCATAATAGAATGCAATGAGGGGTCTGTCACCATGTTTTATATTGCTCTGGGCTACATGGGACTTCTGTCCCTCATCAGCTTGATTGTGGCTTTCCTAGCCAGGAAGCTGCCCGACAGTTTCAATGAAGCCAAGTTCATCACTTTCAGCATGATGATCTTTTGCAGTGTTTGGGTCTCTTTTGTTCCAACCTATCTGAGCACCAAAGGGAAATCTATGGTAGCTGTGGAGGTCTTCTCTATCTTGGTGTCCAGTGCTGGGTTACTAGGCTGTGTCTTTTCCCAAAAATGTTATATCATTTTGTTGAGGCCTGAGCTGAACAGGAGAGAGGAACTGATAAGAATAAAACATAATTAGGGTTGTGCTTCTTAATATCTGTCACTCCTTGTTTGTTAATGGCATTTGGGCCAATTTCATCAGTGAATTGACATCAAACTCGCTTTCAAGGATGTCACTTGAACTGACTAAGGTAAGGATGTAGGCAATTGCAGAGTGCTTTCTCTGACCATCTAAGGAAAATGATATATATGTGGTTTGGATTTATGTGCAGGGAGGAACGCCTGGAATTGCACTGTAAACACTTTCACTTTGGTTCCCCATCCTTGTGATCTCTTGTTTTCCTTTGTTTGTGAATGTGAATAAAAGTGTTTTTGCTGAGCCTCCAAAACTTTACTGATTTCCTCAACACACAAAAACAAGAGATTCACAGAACAAATAATGAAGACAAAAATATTTATTTTATGAGTAATTGGTTTTCAGCATTTAAATTTTGCTACTTCATATAAGCAGCAACAGTTATTGCATAGGTAATGATCCTGCACTGTGGCCTGAATTCCCTCAAAGCCATTCAAATACATGATTTTTTCTTTCTTTGCAAATGTTTGTTTCTATGTTGTCTACATGGCTAGTAAAGAATTGAAAGGTTTGGATATTTTTCTAAGGCACTGAAGGGAATGGTGATTTCTACGATGTAGTAGCATATGGCATAAATGAATGGAGAGGACTTTGGGGGGCATTTCATATCTGCAAAGGAACTCCATGTATGGCGTCGAAGGCACAAGTAAGACTCTTAAGGAAATTCTGCTTTGGGAGGAATAGCTGGGGTCTTGTAAGAGGCATAAGGGATTAATTTATCTACCAAATGTCTCTGAATCAAAGAACCCACATTGCCTGGTGAAGCTTCAGCGATCAAGAATTACTTGTAATTAAACAATCAGCCATTGTTTGGATGGCTTTCTTTCTAGTTTTATTAGGACTTCATTTCCATTTAATACAATAACTTCAGAACAAGGGCGCCGTGAAATAATATGAAAAGAAAGCCTCAACAGAGGAAGAATATTTGTATTTAATTGGGGAAAATGATAAATAAAAGTTTAAAAAAAGAAAGCACTCCAAAACCACAAAAGAAAAAAAAGAAAAGAACAACTTCTAATTAAACAATCAGCCATTGTTTGGATGGCTTTCTTTCTAGTTTTATTAAGACTTCATTTCCATTCGGTACAGTAATGTCAGAAGGAGGGTGCTATGAAATAACATGAGAAGAAAGCCTCAACAGAGGGATGAATAGAATATTCTTGCTGGACTTAACCTGAGTACTAAGCCCCGAGTGGTAACAACTATAAAAATAGTCCAAAAGTAGAACTGTAAAAACAGTACCTCCCTCCCCCCCAAAAACCCAGTACAATTAAAACAATGGATGCCCCAAGACCCGCACTCCTACAGATTGCTATTTTTGTTATGGTTTGATCTTACTTTTCTGTACACATATACACCTGAATGTGGGGATAAAAATTATCAAAGAAGCTGAATTAACTAGATATCAAAAAGGTATTGAGTCATGCCAATGGAAAAAGGAATGCAGGGTCTCTCGTCTACCAGTTTTACACATAAACCCATCCTATGATTAATTCAATCAAGGGTCATTTCTTCAAAGCTCTTGGAGCCTGCTCCCAGATAATTTGACCATAACTAATGACCCAGGTTTCCAAAACAATAAGCTACACGTCAATTCCAGCAATTCCTTTCCTATCTAAATGACAGGACAGGAAGGTTTCTTTCCTTCCCCAATTCTGCCAAGTACCCAGCCATAGAAACAGACATATCTGACTCCCAAATCTCACCAAGGGGACATTTTTGATACTTTCAGTGCAAAGAGGGAAAATTCACCTCCACAAAGGATTTTTTAAGGCTTTCTCACTCCCCAAAAGATAGCATTTTTAAATCATTCCCACATTCCTCTGTCAACATCCCTTCCATTTTTTTTATCCCCAGTACAAAGGTAGAAAAAGATACCACTTCAGCGCCAACTTTTGTAGCTGATTTGGAATGATCCTGTTACCTCAGTCTCATGACTGAATCCTCATCTCTCTCTGACCTTGTATAACTGCTCCATTGACCTGACAGGGATCTTCCTCCCCCACTAGACTATACTGGATCCCAGTGGCAACCATCCTAGTACAGTGGTGTACATGCTTTGACTATGTAGTTGCACACCCAGATGTCCAAACCTCCTTTTTCCCCTATCTGCTGGACATGCATAATTGTCTCCTGGTAAATCAGAGTGTATGACTTTCAGCTCAGTGAGTCACAATATCTGCAGGACAGTATCGCTGGATCCATGAAATGAAGGTTTTTTTAAAATTATCCATACTTGATAATTTTATTATTTGTTACTTAATTGCTTTATTTATTTACATAATTATGTATTAATTATTGTAATTTTGTAATCCTCTGATTTAAGTGGATCCAGGCAATGGTCTTCTGTTCAGAATGGATTCTCTGATTCACTTTTAGCAATTCTAGAGAGAATTATTGCGACAGGCTGGTGACTGAGTTATTTCATCTTATGGTCAGGAGAAGTTTCTGCCCAAGTTTCTCCCCATTCAGCACTGACCAATCAGATTCAAAAGACGTAACTGAATGATTAAGTGAGGAAGGAGAAACCTGAGGAATTTAGCAACCAATTGACAAAAAGTAGTGTTGGTGTTCGGTGGGAGAAGGGGTATCCTGGACTAGGCAGGGAGTCTAGTGGGAACTCTAGTGTATGATTTAAGAATGGCAGGGTTTGGATGCTGTTCCTCAATAAAGGCAATACATTCTCAAGGCTGCCTAATTAACGACTTTAATTCGAAAGTGCTGATGGAGCAAACATGGTAACTGTAATGAATTAAGAGGAGGAGGAGGAGATTGGATTTATACCCCGCCCTTCACTTGGCGTCTTAAGTGTGTTTTTATTTAAATGTTTGGTAAACTGCAGAAGAACAAGGGGCGTAAAAGTGGGGATGAGTAGTGAGGTGATTGGTTGGTGACTGAGAGTGTATGGGCAGAGCCAAGAAGTGTGGGGGGAGAGAGAGAAGGCAGAAGCCAGTCAGTCAGCAGTTAACGATCAGTCATGGTCAGTCAGCAGTCTACAGAGTCTGAGAAGCAGTCTTCTGATTTGAATCCCATTTTCGTGTTGCGAAAAGCATTTAAGATTCTCAAGAGAAAGTAGAATGCTTTAGAGGACATATTAGCGATGAGACAGAGTCAAAACCTAATATTTTCAAAGTATTAGAAGGGTGTGAGAGACAGAAGCTGACAGAAACCTGAGTCAATAAGGGAAAGATTAAGCAGATAAATTAAATAAAGATTGGTCAAAGTACATTCTGAAGAGAGAAAAAAGATTTGAGAGTGAGGACTGTTTGTGAAGTGAAAGGGAGTGATACTTCAGTCAGGAATTATTAATATACACTGTCTTATTCACTAAATGGATAAGTTACAAATCACCTTGAAACTAAAACGATTCTTGTACAAATATAGTTTTATTTCATTTATTGTTAATCTGGAGTCCTATGCTATTAAAATATAGGAGTCTCATTCTCAGGATCACAGAGTCCAATGAAGGAGTCTTAGGGCTTGGGCACAATACTGTGGGGAAGGTTAATTAATAAAATAGAAATTAACTTTGAGGTGGCAGTGTTACATACGCAGAGAGAGAAATAACAAGGAAGTTAAAGATATGGTGTGCCATATCTAACCACACAAATTAAAAGAGAAGTTGTGACAATAACCATTAAGCATAACACACCTCTCTGCTCTGGTGACTGTGGCTGCAGTCACACAGAACATTAGCCTCATCCATGAGAACTGGCTCAGCCAGACAGAACTATCAGCGCAACCTTGACGGGAAGGGACGTGGATGGGAGGCTAGATAGCCTGGAACTGGACTGCCGCACAATGATGCGGGACATGGGGCAGTTGCTCCATACCTTGCTGTGGATGGTGGCCCAGGTGGTTCAGACCCAGCTGGCCGCTCAGCAGGGCCCCCTGGTGGTTCCCCCCCTCCGGTCCCTCAGCTGCCTCCTGGCCAACTGGTCCCTCAGCCACCGCCTCCTCCTCCTCCCCCCTGGTTCCGCAACCCGCCATCCCTGGGGCTCCGCCAGCCCCACCGCGGACCAAGGATTTACTGGATGAGACTTTCAATGGCGATCCTGAGAACCTCTCCTCCTTTATTGTTCGAGTGATGAAGTTTGTGGAGCAGTGGGCTCATTTGTTCCCGGACGAGGAGCACCAAGTGGACTTTATTGCTTCTTGTTTGCAGAGGGTGGCAACCAGTTGGTATGTGAGTCTACACAACCTGGATGCGGGAGCTGGGGAGCGTAGATGCATTTCTGTGGGTGCTGAGGGCCTGCTTCGAGGACCGCACCACTGCCGAGAAGGCGGAAGCATTCCTCTACACCTTTAAACAAGGCAAGTTGACAGTTCGAGAATACTCAATTGATTTCTACAGCAAGCTGCCAAAATCCGTGACAGGTCCGACCCAGTATTAGATCAGCAATACCGGCTGGGGCCGACTACTTAAATCCGAAACACCGTCCTGAGTTCAAGGGACCCAAGAACCTTACTGGCATGGATGCAGGAGGCGGAGAATGCTGAAAGCCGGCTGCGCACTATGCATTTGGACAACATGGTACTGGTGGGAAGAGGGCCACCGACACCCCACCCCAAGGCACGGTCAATCCCGGTGAAAGTCTCGGTCCGCGAGCAACGGATGAAACAGGGGTTGTGTCTGAAATGTGAGGATCGGGACCACTTTGTGGCCAACTGCCCTTCAGGGGAGGCTACAGGGTCAGGGGGGAGAGAAGGTGACAAGTGCCGGGTCGACATGCCTGCAAAGAAGGGGATGGCGAAAGTAAGAACCCCCCATGCACTACAAGCCGAGGTAGAAGTGTGGGAGCCAGAATCGAGCGAGGAGGAGGAGATGGAACCGGCTGGAAAAGGCCAGGTCCTGCTGTAATTGGCGCAGCGCAGCAGAACCCATCCACAGAGGCACTGAAAGTGGTGAGCAGCTATCCACCCCTCTTTTTTGTGACTGTTACTATTATGAACCCCACCATGGGAATGCACATCAGGGTCCGGGGCCTCATAGACTCGGGATGCGGGCAGGATTTAATCAACCCCTCCCTAGTGTTGGGACTGGAACCAGCTGTGGTTCGGTTGGCAGAGCCCTTAATTTTTACCCAAATGGATGGGTCCCCGATGAAAGAGCCCTGTAGATTCGAGACTGTGCCTTTGCGTATGGGGGCAGGCGATCATTGGGAAGATTGAACTTTTGTGGTGTCACCAGGGGCTAGGTTTCCCTTGGTGTTGGGAAGCCCTTGGCTCCATTGACATGATCCATATATATTATGGGGTGACAGGATTGTACGATTCATCTCCCCTAAGTGTCAACACCATGTATGGAACCCAAAGTGAGGAGTAGCTCCTGACAGCGAACCAGCTCGGGTGTGTTTAGCTATGGAGGAGCTCGCAAAAATCCTGAGGGAATATAGAGACCTCTCA